GGGCTGGCATCAATGCGAATCAGGAAGTACACCTCCTAATCTGAACTCGGACCGACGCACACAATCTAGGTTCACCAGCAGCACCAGAATTTTTCAGGAAACCATACGTACGTATGGACTGCTTTTTTTCGTAACCTCCGTTATGTGTGGGTGAAAAGTGACCTGTCCATATGGGTAGCTGGGCCCTTGATTCAGCCGATTTGATCGGCCGTATACAAACCGGCGTTCAGTCCCGATTGCCTCTGACAGGCAGTTTGTCCGACAGAGCAGTGAGATACCGGAGAAAGCTGGCGAAATTTAAAATTAAAGCTAAATAAACTGTGTACCGTTATATTCTACTGCTGGAGCATGCAAGTAGTTCATTGTCTGGTGTCCACACTCCGTCCTCATATCCGTTGAAAAGTGAATGTCACTTTGGCACCTATGAAGCTGCTTCGCAGTGTTAGATTATAAGCGCCTGATATGCAAAGAACGACCAGAAAAATTGAAGAAAATTCTCGCCGTTGTTAGCTTTTTAAGAACTCTGCGCGTATAAAGTGCTCAATTTCGTGCCCAATGGATTGCAACCGCTTGGTTCTCCACTGCTAGTGAATAGCTTTGCAGCAAAGGGAACGATCAAATGGGACCAAACGTGGTTCGTGCCACGCTAACTCCAGGTAGTCTGCCACCACCCGTCGTCTGACAATTACAGGCCCATTGACCTTACTAGCATACTGTACAATCTAACCGGAGGACTAGTGAAATGACTCGTTGCAACAACAACTCTTTATTTTCTTCGACATAAGCGGTTTTACCCTTGGCTGCTCTCAAGTCAGGTATCGTGTCGTTGAATAGCCAATCAAAAGCGACAAACAAAGGACCGATAAATGGCGGCATACATGCTGAATTTTCCGATTAGGCTCCACATTCCAGTGCTCCATAAGACGTAGGCCTACGTAACGAATTGGGAAATTCGACGCTAGATTACTAACTTCATTTTTAGCAGAACGCCCTGCCCTGATCTTCTCGAGCGATTGTTAGGACAGATTTGTTTACCAGTATTTCGACTCGTCTACGTCTTGCGAGCGTCATAACATTCCGGGGGTCGACCAGCAACTAGATATGAACTCCACAGAGTGGTGGTCACTGAATTTGCGGTCTTCTTCGAAAGAAGAGACATCAGTCCGTGAGTCTTCAAATGTGCATGGTTGCGTCGGACAAAAAGCTCTCAAAAAACACATATGATTAGGGATGTAGGTATCTAATCATTTTCAAGTTTGCCTTTATCACTCTATTACGAACCGCCGATTCACAGAACACCCTTCTTCCTTCGGGTGACCCGACGCTCGTTTGTCCGTATTACCCACATAAAATTTCCGACATTTAATATGGCTCGCGTCAGAAAACACTGTTGATGCGCTTTGTCTTTAGGAGTTCGGAAATACGTAGCTCTTATGAAGGACGTCCATCGAGTCATTACTTAAATGGTTTCGGGTTACAAGTCCTTTGATTGATACTCGCTCGGTGTAATCTCGAACACTTTCTCGGAGACCATCACTGGCTTCAAAATTGCCTGGAACCTGCTTATGTGTTGTCTAGAAACCGTCTTTCCGGAGAAGGTTTTGCCACTAATAAGGCTATTGCAAGAAGTTCTCTGGTGGCAACGCGTGTAATTGTGTTAGGCAAGAATGTATTCTACCTCTGGTAGTGGGTAAAATCCTCTTTCCTGCATCCAGGACAAAATTAAACTTCTAAAACTACGTGTAATTAATTACGCTGCTACGCCGTTGCCTACCCACAAGTTTTAAAAATGGTTCGGAACCCCATTTTGTTTGTGTGCACCATTTGAAGCTTTGACAGGTGCCTCGACATCCTGTACTAACCCATGACCTTGTTACTCCGTATGAGAAACTATGCCGACGATTATCTGCTTCCGCCGGAAATTTCTTTAATGGTTAAATCCGAACATAAGTTCCAGCAGACCTGAATGAACTCGTCCTGGTGGCGACTGGTTACGGGTGAAAAAGTTTGTTCATTAAATGAGTGAGTGGGTGAGAGGTTACGGTCAAGCGTAAGGAGTGCGTAATCGCAGGTGTGCCATTAAACGGGCATGGCACTTCAGTGCCATTATTGGCCTGACGTACTTATGTCTTTGAACACCCCCGTAACGGATTTCATATTCAAATCCACTGTGCTATGATGTGCAGTTCTGTTCACAGAAATTAATTGCATGTTAGACGAAGTGTCATACTGGGACGATCCACTACGACGAAAAATGAGGCTTTTGCTTAAACTTTGATCCTGTGCACCGATCTGTTGATCAGATGGTGCTAGCACGGACAAGCCTACCGCCCAGCGTTGAGAACTTAGTGATCAGTGTTTTGCCCCTTCATCTATTGTGCATTTCAGGTGAACCGAAGCAACTGAACGACAAAAACAAACCCTACTCGGAAAGCTCCCAGGAAAGCCTCAATGCTGCGTATCGATCCGTTATTCTCTGACGTGGGCTGCCAGCAATGAAACGGCCAACCCAAGGATCGAGCGCATGCTCGACATTCACCCCTTATAGTCAGCTGTTTAAAAAAGGAGGGAGAAAGTTACTTCTGCTTGGAAACAGGTCAGCCAACCTCAAACTTATGGCCTACCCGATGGTCGTTTACGACCCTTGTACTATTGAAAGCACGCCAGCGCAACTGCAGGATGTTCCGGATCGCAGATTCTAACCAACCTCCGTAGACATCTTGAATACTTAGAAAGTAATGCTCGTGGGAGAGCAAGACTCTCGCATACATGCGTTCAATGTGCGTGGAAGTATAATCGCTTGTTTCTTTACCGGATAACAAAGGCGCGGCGGTGGACTCCCCACCTATTACACAAGCTGTGAGTTCGATGGAATCAGCTAAGTGGAAATGAGCATCGATGTCTACCTGCAGATTAAACACAAGTGTGGACCTTAACGCCGAGAGCCACTGTTATTAAAAATGCGAAAGTGATATCCCTTAGCTCTAATAAGTCAAAGGTAGCCTCTCTGATTGTGGACGCAGTCGTTACTCCCAAACTTGATAAACAAGGCCACGATCAAGACAGCAATGTACTGGGAAATTATTCATTCACTGAGATGGTCATACTGATCACGGACAACCTAGAAGTCTACACATAGACAAAAGGAGCGCGACTGCGCTCGTGAGCCTCGCCTCATCGAACAAACCAGTGGCTTGATTCAAAGTACGGTCCTCCGCAAAACGACTCTTCCCAGCAATCCACCGCAAATAATGCCCATTGATGGTGCTCCCCAATGTAGGAGCGACTTACATGACACAAGCAATTTACTGGTTAAGCCGCGCCAAAAGACCCAGGAAAGTGGAAGAATATCCCTCACCATTCCTGAAACAACTACAAATCTAGTCATTCGAAAGTTGATATTGCACGAGAAACAAACGGCAGCCAGCAAAATTTTCAACCGCGAGGAAAAACTACTTGCCCCAAAAGCAAAAGGCGCTCGCAACCCGCACACGAAATTCATACTATAAACGGAAAGCAGTTCTTCGAGTTGCCAAGGTGCAAAGCTGACAAGTACGCAGCGAAGTGCACGTTGAAGCCATGGGCTCGAACCAAGCGGGAAGTTATTATGCCTGCTAAGCGGCCTGGTAAACAGAATTTCGGCTCCCTAACTTCAGATGCGCCAGTGACTTTGTGAAAGTTCACAAGCTGGCTCAGGCCTCCCGATGAACGATTCGATTCAGAAAAATCAGTTTACCTTCACCAGCCGTCCACAACCGTATTTGCAGTGACATGGATCAAACCATATGTCTTTGACCCAAGAACTCCATAACCAGCAAGTGCATGTCCCAAGCTGGTCCACGGCGATTCATTTTAAATAACCTGATCAACAAACATAGTCCAGGCGTTTAGCCGAGCTTCCCAGACCGGGTTTGTCCTCGCAGTTCTGCGGCAACTTTTTACTTGATGGACACAAGCGGAAAAGGGTGTGGCACTGCTCTTTAAGTTCTCGGTGCGGTGACTCAACTGAAAAGGCGTCTGAGGGTGCTTTTAATCGGGTACTAGATGCAGAGTGAACAGCGAATCATGCCATGCACGAATGGATCGGAAGACATTACGAGGATCGGTGCCAAAAAGATATCTTTTTCCCTTCAAACGTATCCTTTTCACTGCATCATGGAAAACTGGCTCAAAAGACATTCACTGTTCTGCGCATGATTCGGCAAACTTCCCACCCTATAACTCGCATGGACTTCCAGATACTCTATGGGGCTTACGTCAGGCCACTTCTTTAATACGCAAACTAAGTTGTCCATTCAGAACGCAAGAAGGACATAACTCTCAACTAGCCGCCAAAAATGGTTGACGGCCCTAAGTCCGTTGATTATGAAACGCGTCTCGCGGTGCTTGGCCTATTCGGCCTCGCTGCCGCAAAGACCTGATACTTACGACCTGTTTGAACATGGCTTGGTCAACAGGTTTTTCACCGTTTACCGAACTTACACACGGCGGGGACAGAAGTTCAGAGAGCAAAAAATTTTCGTTTCGGGTATTTGGAGTACGGAATAATCTTCCCCGGACAGCTGTTCACTCTGCATCTAGTACCCGGTTAAAAGTATCCTCAGACGCCTTTTTAGTAGAGCCACCGCACCGAGAACTTAAAGAGCAGTGCCAGACCCTTTTCCACTTGTGTCCATCAACCAAAAAGAAGCCGCTGAACGACAAGGACAAACTCGGCCTGAAAAGCTTGGTCAAATGCCACTATCTTGTGTATGGATTTAGTAATAAGTGAATCCGTTACGTACACTGACCGAGAACTAAAGAGCAGTGCCAGACCCTTTTCCACTTGTGTCCATCAACCAAAAAGAAGCCGCTGAACGACAAGGACAAACTCGGCCTGAAAAGCTTGGTCAAATGCCACTATCTTGTGTATGGATTTAGTAATAAGTGAATCCGTTACGTACACTGAAGTCTGGTTGAAATTCGACCAATCGGCAGTCGACATCGTGCTGGGTTAGTAGCCTGCGTCGGCGGTGTGCGCTACCTGGCTTTCCTTTAGGTCTGTTTTCTCACGTCCCTGAAATCGCACTAGATATGTCATCATTTTTCCTCTTTGCTCCTTTTCATTCACCGTATGTAAGATTGATTGTGGTCCCTAACTCGGTAGTTACGGTTGGTTCTATGATGGGAGGTTTGTGTTTGAGTGGGAGTGTTCCGGGTTCTGAAGGTACCGCGGATGGGCGACGCATAGAGCTCCCTGAGGACATTTTACGCGCCTAAATTATGAGCGTTCCGCTAATGTGGCAACCGTCACGTATACAATGATTCGCTTTATGGGACAAAGTTGTCGCATGAAGCAGTATGCAACCGTAAGTTCTGGCATGCGTTTATTCACACCAAGGATGCTCTACGGGGGGCGGTCGAGGCTCTAAGGGTCGTTGGGGGCATGCCACGATTTTATGTTGCCGAGAATCATTGGCTGTCGCAGGGCTATTCACCATATCGGCTGCGGTGGACCCGTAGACGCATGTCGAATGAGTTCGTTATCATACCGGATAAGGTTAAGAAAGGGCGGATGAACTAAGAATCAAACAAGGCTTTAGATGGTGACAGCCTCTGCCCTCATATGGCCACACACGTCTTTGCTAAGCAGCCTAGGCGGCGAAATTGGTTCTTAACCTTTCCATTGCAACGGAAGGATGTCAGCTGAGTAAAAGCCGCAAAATCAACCTGCAAGCGGAAGCCATCGTATAGTGAGCTTTATAGGCGTTTCAAAAAATATGGAGGGTCTATCGTTCTTGCATTCGTCAATATGTGATGTACAATCGCGCAATCAACCACAATCAGCAGGACTTTTTTGTACCACGAATCTCCTACAATTTTAGACTTGGTGTCTAGAAAACTGAGTGAAGGTCAGAAGATGGCGATTTACAAAATCCCTGGATCTGGTCAGTCATTTGTTTCTGGTTGTGCATCTGGAAATATTTGGTATCAGTAACCGGGCTCTCCAACGCATCGATGAGTTCTTGCGGTAACGAACCTTTCACGGTTAGCGTGGAGCTGCGTTATCGCGCACCGAGGCAACCGTTAGTGAGGTTCTGCGAGGGTCCGTTTCTACTCTACCTTGATTGTCGACCTTGACCTGATGTTTAGTGGGGCTGAAGACCACCGTCAGTCCCGGAAGTGCCAGTAACCCTTGGCGTCCATTGATCCCTGAAACTAGCGATTCGCCCCATCTGGGGTCCTAAGAAGAATGGAAACGTCCTTCATGTTGGTGCCAACTTTCCTGAGATGCTGGCTACTGTCTTAGTTGTGGAAGATACTGGGGGAAGGATTTTTCTCAGCGTAGCCTTGTGCCACCTTGAGACGAATATGTGGAAAGTATTTGTGCTTTTCCACCTGTGGAGACGCGGTATGGATGGGCGGAAAACTGAATTTTCGTCTACTTGACAGGCCGGCTAGCAAACGGAATGCCAGTGTCCCGGGAGCAACACAACAAGATTCCTGATAAGTGAAGTCGCTGAGGAAGTAACTGGATAAGGTAAATATCACCAGTCTAGACTACAAAGGAGTAGCACCACCTGGTTTTCACCCAGTCAACCGAAGACTCAAGAAGGGAACGGGTTGTCATCGTTAAAAAATGTGACGTGTACTGTCGTGGTTAGTCTAGAGTGGTCGTCGTTGCTGGTTTGGACCTTATTCTATCGTAAAGTAGAACCTGTATCGATTGGTGAAAGTAGAGGGATGTAAGTAAAGCTCAGCCGCAATTGAAGAAACCCTATTCTGTTTCACTCGAACAAACGGAAGGCTGAAGTACGTGGAATGGTTTTCGTGAGAAATGACTTGACCGTGTCAGATAAGCTGACCATATGGTCACATGCTCCATACGCCAGTCTACCGAATTCCCTAGAGCACCTTTTTGTACAACCACGCGAATAGTGGAACCGAACCAGGGAAGCCCAAGCAATGACTTGGCGGCAGAGTATGGCAGCCATTATTAGGAAACTCAGCTGCAACTGTCATTGACGTCTCCCTAGATGGGGACTCCGAGACAGAGTAGATCCCTAGTTAGAGGCATCGTCAGACATGGCTCCGTCGCGCGCTCAATAGTGCACATGCATCCTCGTCGTTGTATTCAATGCATATCTTCCCCTCCCAGTCTGTGATGGAAATTCTGCTGATACCTCTGTATTTGGTGTATCAGTCATATTAGATATCGCCTCCAATACGTATCTATGTGTCCCCACTTCCCAACTCGTCGGTGAACGAACTTGCTGCAGCTTTAGCCACTGTACAGCAATTACGTCGTTTTTACAGCTGAAGGTAGGATTACGGTCTCATGTTTTCATTCAGGTAGACGGCAATGACCAGCGAAGCTGGGTTTGCTGGTACTTGCTTTCAAACTTCAGTGGAAAGGCATTACTTGACCTTCCCTGGTTCGTTTCCACTCTTTATATGATTGTGCGGAAAGAGCTTTAAAGGTTCGGTCGACTGACGTGTGGAGAACGTGACCGAGCCAGTGCGAATTCTAGATTCTACTCAGTGCACCTGTCGAGGGCACGTTATTTCTTCTGAATATTATTCGATGTACTGCAGCATTGCTAACCTGATGTCCCCACCACACCCGATGGAAATGATGGCTCTCCACTGACGGCTGATGGCCTTATGATCCAACTGGGTCCACGGTTGATTTGCAGTTGGTGGCCGCCAAGTTAATCGCGCGAGTGTTTGTGCTGAGAGTTCTTGCCGGCCAGAAGCAGTTCGTGGTGGGCACACAACTGGAAGGGCCGACCTCTGCTGTCTGTGCGACGAATATCAACTCTGAATGAAACACTCATGTGTGATGCCAGAAACCCAGACGACCATCTTGGGTATTCCGCTCGCCCGCAAGGACCAGTGCTTCTTACTCGACGAATGAGTCCGGATAGCTCTCGGTAGAAAGTATCCTTCTGAGTGTCAAAACTCTAGTCCGAGAGAGAGAGAGTTCAGCTGTAGCACCTTTCCGGTGCCTAGCTGCCATGCCACCCCAGGGAAGCACGAGGGCTGGGATACTGCCGGGTTCCGTCACGAAGAGACCGGACCCTACCGTAGTGTGACGGTTTGCGCATTCCGTCACGAACCGGACCCTACCGTAGTGTGACGGTTTGCGCATCTTAGCGATCCATTGAGCTATACTGGAGAGTGTCCCGCGACACTCACTCACAGTTGGTCAATGGTTAGAGGTCTGACGAACACAGTCTACCGGCCCTCCGGGTTGGGGGTTGGAGCATGTGGCGACTTGTTCCGTAGAAATGGTAATGCATTT